GCCTGAAGGAGGCGCTGGGAGCTCTTTCTCCACCTCTAGGCATCACCTCCTCTTCCCTTTCCCCCGCTCATCATAACAACCCCGGACAACAGGTGGCACTGCAGAACAGAGTGGCCATACTAACACAACAGCTCCAGGTGAGAGACGAAGACAGCGTATGTAAATAGTGTTGTAGCAGAGTATAGTATTATACATGAAGAGAAAACATTTCATCCGATTGCGTCCATGGAGCACATAAAGTAGATTCTAAAGACATTTGACCAGGAACATTTACTGATGCATGAATACAACATCTGCAGGATTGGGAGAGAAGACACAAGCATGTGGTGGCAGTTTACCGTTCCCATTTACTCTCCGCTGTGCAGGTGAGTCACAAGAGCACACAGTACTCCACGAATACTGGCGGCATTCGATTAGTTCTGGCGAAAGGGCGTTCTCATGTGTACTTACATATACCGGCTAATTGTGTGCATATCTGTACAATAATGAATGTATGCCTGTGTGCTTTTGTGCGTACACACACACACACACACACGCTAACGTGTCCACTCTACAGGGACGCATGGACGAGGAGGTTCAGAACTTACTTCTCCAGATCCTGAAGATGACACACAAGGAGCAGGGTCACTGACCCTGACCCCCCCTTCACCACCACCACCCCCTTCCCCACACTGGAGCGCCCACTCTGGGGTCCAGGCTCCAATCCTCCCAGGGGACCACCACTTCCCCTGTGGGGTCTCTCCCCACTTCGCAACTCATCATCCCAAGATTACGACTAGATACACAGGTTCATAGAAAAACACCCACCAATCATGTGTCCTGTATCTGCATGCCTTGGTAACAGTAACGCACAATGCAAACAAAAACCAATGCCTGAATCTTAACCTGGGGTGAGGAAATACAACGATAAGGGTAAGAAATACAATTACAAAGTGCCTTTGTGGCGAATGTATATTTGTTCCTGGTGAAAGACCGATGACATTTGATTGATTAGTCACAGATAAAAAGTGAAGGTATTCATTGTGTGATAGGAAAGCTTTTTGTACAATGTTGTTATAATAAAATACAATAATAATAAACTCTGTTCTTTTTTTTTTTTTTTTTTCCGCTAATGCAAATGCTGCGCTAAAAGATTTCCCATCAATCGTCCATCCACTTGAAAGTGGCATGTATGTTTGGGTAGAGAGTGTGCTGAGCTGCGTTAGGAGCTGTGGGCTACAGATGACAAACTAAATGATGCATTTCACTTTATTGACACGGTTGATAATGGAAATGAAAAGTACCAGAAACCGTGCAGAGAAAACTAAATGGGTGTAACAGAATAGAAAATGTGCAACTTAAACCAATAACTCTGAGCTCCTTGACTCATTGTTTTTCAACTTTGTTGTTTCTAGCCCTGACCGAGCTGCAGTAGAAAACTGTAGGGCTGAAGAGTTGAGAATAGATACGAGACGAATCCAAATGCAAACCCCATTCAGACTAATCAACAGATACAGGCCTTCAGTACAGTGCAAGGACTAGTAGAACCAAATAAGTAAAACTATATTGTAAAGTCTGGACACATTCGGATTTCAGACCATAGTATCGGGGTATGGCTTAGAAAAAAACTAAACTAATAGTTTCACATAAATATTGACCGAAAGCATACAGTCGAGTACAATCATGGTACAATAAAACTATATTATTAAATGTTATTCATACTCCACAAAACCAGAGCAGCTTATATCTTGTATAGGAGCTTAGTCATCCTGAAAACATTCATTGGCATGGCAAGAAAAATCCTAGAGAAACGCAGGAAGAGGACCAAAACTAAAATATGTACACAGCTCGTTGTCACCCCCTAGTGGTAGCAGGCAGGCAGCACCTGCCCGTCTCTATAGTCATTAAGGCACTAAACATCAAAAGACTGAGGACACGTAGACATGTGCTGTGTATAAAAGTATAGTACTGTGTTACTGTAGCATAGAGGTTCACCTACTTGACCAAGAAACACAACCTCAGTGATCTTCCACTACAACACACAACACACTTTCTGATTAGCCCATACGATACTAACAACAGCACACAACCCAGTGATATTAGGACATGTGACGACGCAGACTGCATTCAAGGCTATATACAACAAGTGGACAGCCTACCAAAAAAGGAGGAATTGGTTATCCTGGAGTGGAGTTTCCATATCTACCACACGTATGAGTTTGTTGGGTCCAGTCTCTAGCGGAAGAGTGAATTACCATCTGGGTAATTACGGTCTGTATGTAGTGACTCTTGCATGAGCTGTCGATCGAAGCATGACAGAATGGGCCAACTGTGACCCTTGACATGTACTGTATTATCAGGTGAAATTGCCCAAAAATAATCCCTACAATGTAAAAGGTATAAACCGCCAAAATAAAAATCCAGCAATTCAAAATCATAAAGGTTTTCGCAAAAATGTATTCTGTTAAAATGTGTTCTTTTTGCAAAGACTGCATAATAATTTCATCCTGAGATTATTAGGGAGAAATGATAAAGGTGCCATGCTGGCAGTTAATGGCTAATGTTAACAGTAGGGTGAAAAGTCTTGCATCATCTTCATTGTATCCGTATCAGTTGTGCCATCTGAGTCAGGTACAAAAGCATGTGGGAGCATGTGACAAATACCCATTCTACATATTCCCATGAAACACACACTTCTTTGATTTAGCTGTTGGTCAACTGTGTAGTGTGACCAGGCATTGGCTCTGTTGCAAAGTTGACTCCATCATTTAGAATCGTTTTAGTTTTGCACCTGTGGTCTTTGAGAGTTTTTGCATTAGTATAATGCCAATGGCTCGTGGCTCCCAGCTTTGTTCCCAGACTGCTCTGTGTGACTCCCTGGTCTGCAAAGAGTGTGACTGATGCTCACTTTGCGGAGAGCTTCACAATCACTGAAACAGCATCGGACATTCGACATCAGTTGGCAAGAGATCGCAGGCCTGTGATTGGTCAGAATTGTGGGATTTTCCTGAACAGAGGTAGGCTAGCTTAATGACAGCATGCTGAGAAGTTGTGGGCAAATCAAATTGTCGACAGTTGATAAAGTTTCTGAGCCAGGAGAGAAAGTAGGAGCCATAAGAGTCTTTGTTATCCTCAGACGTCCATGAGGGAAAAGGATGGGGTTGAGTCCCCTCTTTCCGACTCCTTATCGTGGAAACGTGGTTAGTGGCTGACTTTAGCTTCTGAGAAGGTTGCACGGACCTCTGGATCCTGCAAGAAGAAATCATTTGAAAACTCATTTCATAATTTGTGGCTTAATATTGTTTATGTAGCATTGACAAAATGTTCTTTTTCACTCCAATTTAACAATTGTATGAACACAACAAATTGAATCAGTGTCACCTGAAATTGATAAATGACAGGAATTTCAACATCAGCAAAGCTTATTAAATGCTGACAATTTGGTTGCGTTTCACATTGCTTTTGTCTCCAAAACAAGGGCCTCAAGACTTGAAATCCAGATGTTTCTGCTTCAAAATAAAAGTCTGCTGTCCACCCAATGTGACTCGTCTTAAACCCCCGCCTGCCCAGACATATCCTCACTATTTAGAGTAATTCAAACCATGTGGATCCTACAGATACACTTGACCTTTAACATGGTCTCATGCCAGATGCTTACCGCTCCATGCAGGCCTCTCCCTCCCTGCCCCCGGGGCCGAAGCGGGTCGGGTCACTGCTTCCTCCGGACCACCTGCTTGAGGTGGAGCTCGCTCTCCGCAGCCACAATGGGAAGCTCATACTTCAAATGGTATGAGATCAGGTGGCTAATGCTCTCGAATAACATGTCTTTAGTCCGGACCTGAGTGGAGGAGGAACACAGGAAGACATCAGGGGACGTTGTTGTTGTGGTTGTTGTTGTTGTTGTTGGACTGGAGATTTCGATTTGGACCTACGGTGTCCATTGCTGTTCATTCAGTGTATACCGCTCTCACAGAGTAGTGTAATTATTTTCTTGACTAATTAATTATATGTATGATTACATTTTATCATTCATAATAACCATCACTAATAATTAATCATTTCGAAATGCAGAAGGCTCAGAAGGGTATTTATTAATTACAAGGCAAGGCAAGTTTAGTTACATAGGACCCTTCAAACATAAAGGTCATTTAGTGATTTACATAGGCAGGACAACACATTTCACATTCACACTCACATTCTAAAGACATCAATAAAGACTTTAAGAGACTACATTATGAAAGTAACGGCAAAATGTTGCTGTGTTAATACTTAATTCATTCATTTGTCTATGGTTTCATTCCAAGTAAAAATTAAATTCCTAGCAGCAGCACTTACCACTCCCTCGGGATCGACCAGCAGCAGGTGCTTGGGCAGGCCGCAGTGCATGCCCGTCAGGACGTACTGTCCCGGGTTGGTGGTGCTCTCTCGGACCAGGAAGTCCCCGTCCCGCATCAGGACCTTCTCTGCGTCACGTCGGCTCATGCGCCCGTGATACCAAGACTCCCTGCGGAGCTGCTCCTCCGTCGGGGCCACGGGGGCCCGGCGTCGCGGCGGGCTGGGCCACTGGTCCTCCAGGACCACCACACCCGCGCATCCTGCTCCTCCGCTGGACCCAGCAGCTCCTCCTCCGCTGGCCTCGTGAAGCTTCAGAGCGTCTTCGAAGGGTCCTGCCGTCAACCGTCACACAACAGAGAGAGTGGTTAACTTTAGTGTACTCAAACGCCTTCTCGATTGATCATTTATTAGAACAGGTGTCAATATTAGAATCCCAGTATTTTTTATTTATTCAAGTTAAGTTTGTCTTAGTGTTTATCTTACGGTTTAATGAGGTAAAGATGTGTCTGAGGTCTTCTCTACAGCTCAACACCGCCACCGTCATTTGAGCAAGGTTTAATATCTCGTATTTTGTAATTTACTTCTTATAGATATTGCAACTCTAAAAGTTGATATATATATATATATAACTTACAGTGAATTTGGATACAGGTGAGGCATCTTGCTCAAGGTGCAGACAGGTAGACTGTGGACATTGGGGTTTGAACCCAGAACCTTTCGGCTGGAAGTCAAACACCCTACAACCACCGACTAGACTATCCTGCACCCCATCTGCCCCCTCTTTGGTCTTTATGATTTATTTTGTAAAAGACTGAAGTTCAATAAGGAGATGAGATGGGTGGATAACATGCAGTGAGTTGGACATTGATGACTTAGTCAAGGCACACAGTAATACGTGGTTTTAAGAACTCACGATATGCTGGTGTTGTAGCACCACTTTCATTTATTGATTGGAGGCATATACAATTAGTTGTAACTCCATATGAAATACAAATCAGTAAAATGCATGCAAGTTCTTATGCCTTTTCATAAAATCTGATAACGGTTTACTTTTGGTATACTTTATTTAATTTTTTGTATTATTATATTTATCTTGGACATATTTCAACAATAGTGAAATGAAATTCAGCACTAGATGAATGTCTGGAATTTAGTATATAATTATATAATTTATTACATTATTTTTCAACTAGATGTCAGCAACTGACAATATTTATCTGTTTAAATGTATGCAATGAAAAGCAATCATATGCATAGCTATCAATATGAACAATACATGGATAAAGGTGCCTGTCCAAGACACAAAATATTAGTGATTACTGTTGTAGTAATGTACATTTTGGGTGTTATGTTTATAAATGAAAATCCTGTAGGCCTACTTACATATACGTATATAGGCCTACTTACTTACATACATATATATATATATATAGAGAGAGAGAGAGAGAGAGAGAGAGAGAGAGAGAGAGAGAGAGAGAGAGAGAGAGAGAGAGAGAGAGAGAGAGAGAGAGAGAGAGAGAGAGATTGGAGGAATGAAACGTTTTCTCATGACACTGAACACACCCAGCACATCACAATGTATATCAATGGCTATCTCATAGAGATAGTGTCAGTTAAAAAATCAATCTTCATTTGTAATGTTTTTTTTTTTGTCACTGGTTACTTTATTAAACACTCTATACCTCGAAGAGAGAAATAGGGAAACCCAGTAGAATTAGATGAGTTGTTGTGTAACATAAATAATATTTCACTGTATTTCTAAGGATATGTGTTATTTATTGCTTAGGTATATCTTATAAGTTATAACAAATATTTTCTTTCTATGCGAAAGACGACAACAAAGTGGGCATTCTTGGTTTGGCTGCTAAATGCAAGGAAGAGTCCCGGTTTGGGGGTTTGAAAATGTGGTCACCCTAAGTTGAGCCAAGAGCTAACCTTATTAAGCTGTGAAAATAAACACTTCATAACTGGTAGGATATAACGTCTAAGGAAAACAACCATGCTTTCAAATTCAAGTTTCATTGCTGGACATATTCAGTTAAACATTACATTAACAAAACCCTAATAATTATTCTGCCTCCACACTAAGCCCTGACCACAAAAGACCCTTATGGTTTACAACCGAAAATTGTCTATTGATTGTCAACTTTTTCAAGTCACACTCGCGGTGAGTGAGTGACCGTACATATTCAGAGAAACTTGTATTTTCTGCAGTCACTTGCTGGCCAGCCTGTCTAATGTGTTCAATTATTCCGCCTCCACCTAAGCGCCGCCCAAAAAGTCATAATTTTTACAAAGAGAAAAGGGGTCTATAGGACTTACGCATGTCAAATATGTCTTTCTTGGGACTGTCGGGGCCCTTGTGTCCATTAGGCCCCTGTGCTAGTGACTCCATACAGTCCAGACTCTGAGTGTTGACGTACAGGTGCTCCTCATAGTCCCTGTTGCTGGAAGATTGGCCGTCTGCACACAGGTATCCGTCTGGTGTCGTACAAGAAAGCACAGAAGACACTGTATTCATAAGATGATTAAGGAAGGACTTATCGGTATATTTTATTAGTAGCTGTGATACCTCCTTATGGCCACCGGAGGTCTTACCTGAGCTACTGCTGGTTTCAGTGTCCCAGTGCAGCTCATAGCACAGCTGTCCTGCAGAATAGGACACTGGTTCTCTCCTCCCTGATGAGCTAATCTACATTCAAAGAAACAAACAAACACAGACAATGATGCCTTTTTTTATTAAACCTTTATTTAACCAGATACTGACTCATTGAGATTTAAACTCTCATTTTCAAGAGGAACCTGGCCAAGAGGGCAGCATAACAGAAAACAAACAGATACATTTATGTTACAAAACAAACTAAAAAATTAGAGAGACAATTTCCAATACTGCCACATTCTACATCCTTTAAGATTGAACCAAAGGCATCATATGAAATCAGTTCTGGCAATGTTAAGTCTTTCTGGATATGTAGACAAGTAGGGACCAGCCCAATGAGAGTTTTAAAGATAAAACTCAACCAATGGGTACGCCTGTGTACATACAGAGATCGGCATATTTAAATCTTGTGCAAAATGTTCCTCACGTAATGTTTTTGAAGCATGTTTTTTTTAATTCTCATAATATGTTATGTTTTTTGTGCTGCACTGAGCAATGGACGTCTCTCCTTATCCATTAAACAATACAGAGGTCTGGTCTGCTGCTGTAATCATATTTTATTCTCTGGCAATAATGGCTCAGACACATCATTCAGGATGAGCCTGGGCCTTTTAGAGTCCAAGTATACGGTAATACACTTGTCAAACATTACAGGAGGAGGAAGCATGTTACCTTAGATGCATTAACATACACATCCCGCTGCTGCGTGGTATCAAGCAATGTCTGTCTTACCGTTACTGTCTTATGTTGAATTCAACTCGATTTTACACTATATCCAACCCTTAGCCTATTTTATGAGATTCAATGATTTTAATAAATTGTACATTTCCTTTGCCCAAAATGTACGTCAAGAGAGAAATAGTAAATTGTGAAATACATTAATATTAATTGGGAAAATCCACATTATATATATATATATATATATATATATATATATATATATATATATATATATATATATATATATAGGAGGACCAACATGGAGATGATCATATGGATTGAATATTTATAGCAAAATATGTACAAAGGATTTCTGAATGATTGATTTACAAATAAAAGGAATACAGTCATACAGTCTGAAATGAATCCTAAGTACGAGAAGGTAGAAAGTTATTATCTAGTGTAGTAATAAAGTAAATATACACTTGTGATAATATATTTGCTGGGAGTGTACCTGGGTGGCTGTCTTGCTCTGGGGCTGGGTGTGGATGTGACCAATCAGGGAGGTGCTGGGCCGGAGCCTGGAGTCCACCACGCCTCCCACCGGAGGCTCCTTCCCTGGGATGCTGTTGTAGTAGTCGTGCTCCGAGGACTCGTCCTCCTCTCCCCACGAGGGCTCCTCCAGCCTGTGGTTCCTGGTGGAGAGCACACAGAGACAAATGCAATGAACTAGGTGGGCTACGCCATGAAGGGGTTATTGTAGCATTTAAAGCTAAACTGGGGAGAAATTCTGAACAGGAAATGTTTTTTTCTCCTGTATCTATTGTTATCTGTATGACAATTATGAATATTGTTAGTTCCTCACTAAACTGTTGCACACTTAACACTTGTAACACTTGTAAAGTAACAGTAACACATGAAGATATTTAAAAAGCAGTCATATTTATTTATTAATATGATTTAGGGCTGGACGATATCTAGTATCATATCACGATATCGATATAATATCGACATACATGTAATACATACGTTGTTGTGGTCTATATATAAATCAACACCCTCTGAGGTTATTGTTGGTACCAACAATAGCAGCAGTTGAAACCAGATACAAACAGACTAAACAAGGGGAGGAGCCACAAGCTGTAGGATAATAACTCTTCCAATATTTATAACAATCAAATTGAACGATGGATTTTATGACAATCGGAGATGAGCGATCATGTTTCCCTCTCATGAGCAGCAGAGAAATCAGAGAGCTTTGTATCAGGTTTGTATCGGTGGTGGAAAATGCAACTGCGCATTTTATTCAACTCAGCGCAATCTTACTCTTCCCATTGTCTGTAAATCTCTAGACAAATCAAATGAAGTAAATTATGTGATATTACGATCAACAAATTCCTCAGTACCAGTGAGTTTATAGTGTTTCTTTAAGAAGACCACGAGAATCTATATCAGGTGCAGGCTATTCAAGTGAACCTGTGCCTGCGCCATGGAAGTATAGGGAGGATACAAGGATAAAGTGCTTAACATCGATCCACTGTATTGTTTGAACTTTTAACCCATCATCTCCACATAAGAGGTGACTGTGGAGGTGTGTTGTTCTCACCGCTCCATTGAAGAGGCCATGGTTTTCGGGGGGCTGTGCAGGTACTGTTTGAACTGCAGCTCGAAGGCCTGGCCGATTGTGCTGATAACACTCTGGGCTAAACCGTCGGAGCACTCCAGGATATGACATGCTGGGATATAGAGGGGGGAGAGAGATTTGAATTCTTAAGTTTCATTAGTCACATGGCTACTACTAACTACTACTATTTATTATTATAGTATTATTTAAATACTATTATTAGATTATTTAAAATAATCTCAAACGTTGACTTGATTCTTTGTAACAAGAAAAGACTAGAAATGCTCAAAGAAATAGGTTACACATTACAGCAAATGTCTGTTGATCCAAAAACAAATGGTGTCAGAATAAAAAACTAAATGAAGAACTTATGAAAGCAATCTGAAAACTCGGTAGCAATAGAAAGAGAAGCAAGTGACATTGAGTCACAGCACAGCCCACAGTGGCGTAAAACAAACTAAACAAACTAAAACACAACAGAAAACAGGTTGTTGAGCAACAAGACAATGTTCCAGATACCTCGCTGATTGACTGGATCTTTGGCCACATACGCAACATAGTCAGGTGTGTCCTGCAATGTAGAAAGGAAATGGAAACACTCAATAAGCGGGCCATTCAGAGAAGTGTAATTACATTAAAGCACTCATTGATTCACAGGTCATGAGGACTGGTATCCGGTCAACGCAGTTCAGCATAGGGCCATCTGCCAGAGAGGCCCATATATAATAAGGTGACCAGATTTCTGAAATGAAAAACGGGGACATTTGTAGTTTGTCGGTCCATGTATCAACAAAATATCTGATGGAAAAAAGGGGACATTTAG